CAAACGACAAGTGGAAGACTTCAGTTCTCTACCGAAAGGGATTGTTTATTCCAACTATCCTCTCAGAAGAAAGACATTCGGAAACCTCCCAAATTGGATAAATTTGAAATTGCGGACCTCTTTCATAAAAAGAAATCGCCATTGACGGCCTTATAGACTAACTGGCTCCCAAGACCACATACGGGAATATAAGCAGCAACGGAACATTTGTAAAAACGAGAGTCCCAGGCGTCGAAGGGAATTCGAACTGAATATACTACAAAATGCGCCAAAGCCACTGAAAATTCTATATGGCTACATACCAAGATATATATGGCAGATAGAAAACAGGATACTGATGAACAGGTAATTGCGTTCCTCCCTTATAATTCCTTTCAGTTCGTCTTTACCGATAACCCAATTCTATATTTTCCCTTCCATCTGTTCGCCAACCGATTTCTCCTTCTCACTTTTTCCCTCTTACTCCCTCCCTACCGCACTTTCTATCGGCTATAGCTGGTGTCAAAATACTCCGACTGAAACCTGCCAAATCGCCGGGGCCGGATAGAATTTCCGCACTTGCACTTACAGAACTTACAAATGAACTCTGCGAGCCACTGTTTATAATAGTTTAAAAATTATTTGAAGAAGGCGAGCTCCTGCAAGAATGGAAGTGTGAACTCATCATCCCAATTCATGAGGGATGTTCTAGCCTTGACTGCGAAACTTATCGTCTCGTCAGTCTTACTTGCATTGAGTGTAAAATGATGGAGCGCATTATCAAAAGACATCTGATAGAGTGCCTGAAAAAAAAAACAAAATATTGTGTGACGTCCGACAGGGATTTGGTTCAGGACTCGCGTGCCTATATAAGTGTTCTTTACTCGCACGAGAAATGGACAATGGCCACAGACAAGGAATATCCAGTGGGTGAAAGTGTCCCAAACGTGCTTCTTTTGCAGAAGTTCTGGGATGAAAGAATTCAAGGAAGAATGTTTAAATGGATAGAGAGTTTTCTGTCCTGTAAAGTCCAAATAGTCGTCTTTGCTGACTACCTCGGCACGGACATAGGTTGAAGGTGGTGCCCCACAGGGCTCTAGTTTAGGACCACTACTCTTCCTGATTTATGCAGACGATTGCATCAGCGATCTAGATTGTGGGGCTCTCATGTTCGCGGATGACATAAAAATATGGAGTGAAGTCAACTGCGATGATGATGCAAAGAGATTGTAATCGAACATCGACAAACTGAGTGTTTCTTCAGACAGATGGCTTTTAAAGTTTAATGTGCCGAAATGCGTGGTCCGCAACCTAAACACTGACCGAATTGCCTCTCCCAAACATCAGTACTTTATTAACGGGGCGACATTTGAAGTTGTAGAAAGACACAGAGATCTAAGTGTACGGATGACCTCAAATTTAATGCCATCAGAACATTGTAGAAAGATGATCATGAAGGCAACTAGTACTTTACGTTGGATCAGACGTGCATTTCAAATATTTCCTCCTGAACACTTATCAAGACCCTTTAGCGTCTTTTTAATACCCCACTTGGAATAATGAATGCCAGCAACTTCAACATGGATACAGAAAGATATTGACCCATTCAGACAAGTACAACGCAGATCAACTAGGATGGTTGATGGTGTAAAGCATTTGTCATACCAGCAGATGCTAACCGTGATTGGCTTATTCCCTCTATCCTATAGACAACTAAACCGCAGCCTACTATAGACATTCCGTATTGTCCGTGGTCAAGGTTCTTTATTGAGAACGGAGGACTTTTTGAGTTTGCCAGTACAAAACAATTTTGCGGTCATCATTAAAAAGTCAAGAGCGAACGCACGCGGCTAGACCGTAGGAAGTTCTTCAGCCAACGGGTTGTCCGACTATGGAAATCACTACCGGGCGAGATGGCGACGGCCGATGCACTTTTTATCTTTTTAAGGGAAAACTTGGTCGCGTAATCTTCGACAGAAACCGACTTTTACAACATGACTTCTCACAGCCAGCTTTAGAAAACGCTTTGTCATACACAATCATTCCGTAATGACTCGCATTGAGCAGGCGCGCTTCCTTAATATTACGGTTCTTATGTGATACGAAGGCATTCCAAATGTTTGCAACCTTATTTTCAGCGCGACCATGTGAATTATGTATACAAAAATAAGGTCAGCAATGGCTCACCTTCAAGTCCTTCAAATACAAATACAAACAAATTGTGCGCTAAAAACCGTAAATCCATCACGGAATAAAAAAACGAATCACTGGTCAGGTAGGACGACGGTACTTTAGATAGCTCTGCTAAGGTATTACTCTATTAGGAGCAACCAGTATCTAACTCGGTGAGCGGGTCTAGGGAGAAGCATCTGTTCCACAAGTCGACACTGCTTCAGTACTGAGATTGATACAACTGGCAAGATGTCAATGAAGGCAGCAATGCTTACTGCTTTCTGAAAAAGGGATGTTAGAGAATCATTCTAACTGAACAAATCTTCACTGCCCTTATGCATGATTTACTTACCCCTCCAGTCTTTTCCTCCCTCACTGAATGGCTCTGGAACACTTTATTGATAACAATGTTAGCCATAAGACTTTTCTTTGCACTTTCAACTTCCTCACACTTTACAACCAAGTTTCCATTCTCAGGTTTTTAGTCAAGTTCGAATTGATTGCTATGGTCTTTGTAGCTAGTTGTTATCATCCTTTGACCGCTGTGCTGGTAATCATGTCTTTATCTTTCTACAATAGGCACTTCTTTCTGGATTTCTGCTAAGGTAAACATTATATAGGCTAATTTGGCCACCCGTTTAGATGCACTAGAATGTGCCCTGTTATTTTAGAGTCCGTTGATTTCAACCGAAACCAACTGAATTACGCTTTGTATTTGATGTTTAAACCACCGACGTGACCTTGATTGGCAAGATTTCAGCGTCGGCAATTTTTAATTACTTAATATGATTCGTCCCAGTTGTGTTCTCGCTGGGATATTTATCATAAGCGCAGTTTACATCCAACCTTACGCCTCACTTACGATTGAGGACATTGCAAGAATATCAGCAGTAAACTGTTACTTGAGAACTTAATTAAGGAGTAAAGAAAATTAAATTTTTCGCCAGATTTTGTTTTTCATCTAACAGTGGATATTTTGACTATGAAATATCAAGATTCATACCGACAGACAAGCATAAGATATTTCTCCTCAAAACAAAAACGGTGCCTTGGCAATACGGTTCCAATGGGAGTAACGTAAGTTTGGAATTTTGACAGTTATTTTGTTGGTTTTATAACTCGTGTTATAGGTTCGTAGGGACACTTCTCATTTATGTGGATCCACATAAATGAGAAGTGTCCCTACGAACCTGGTGGAAATTTTGGCAGTTATCTAAGCGTAATAAAGACGAAAGACATCGATGCACTCTTGAGTTTTATTGTTGCAAGTGGATATCTTTCAATTAGTCATAATGATACTGAAAAATAAACATTTTCTGACGGCAGACGGATTTTCGAATTCGAAGCTACCCTGCTAGCACCAGCCCCGTCTGGCTCCGTCTAGCCTCCGCGACTAGACGTATTAGCGTATACGCTAATTAATTTCACTAATGTTCCTATAACAGCTCTGTTTGTACTGCTCTGCTCTTTTATGAATGGCCCTGTAAACTACCACACTTTTGACAGTGCTGAAGGACATGTTCTAGCTTGAAGCTGCGAATGTGTAATTTAAGATATAAATAGCGACATGACTCAAATCCTGTTAAATTGCCTGATATATTTGACAGTTTGTAGTCAACTAAACTGCATCGATTTGAGATAAGTTTACGCTGCGTCGTTCTTGGTTGTCCACATCCTCGTTCGGTTACTATTATTATATCGAACTATTTGCCTAAATAATTCTATACACCTCATACAGTTGGTAAACGTTTTGCAAATGTTGAATGAAGATAGTGTACTCTAATGAAAATACTCCTTACTTCGATTCCTCTGCCGTAACTACGAGTGGGTTAAATGACTCTTAAATGGCTTTCGATTATGGTGATGCACTAGGATTAGAAGTGTTGTCTTAGTTTAGATGGTGACTACACAATGTCCACAAGGCTATATTGTCAAATTCCAAACTAATTTTTGGTCTCTGTCACCTAGAGCAGTCGAACAAAATCCTCTACTTCTTTATCTGAGACTGTTTACCGTCATACTACCTATTGCGAGGGTCAGATTTTGGGGCTTTCGACTTAAGGTTTGAACTGAAAATAGTTATTTGTCAGGCGTTCTGTTTTAACGCTGTTTAGTGTCTGGGACAAAGACAAATCTACGGCCGAACGGAATCGCTAAGAGCCTATTCCACAGTCCCTATGATATAATTAAAATTTGGTTAATGTAAAAAGTATCTACTTAAAATTTTGAAATTTTCTTTGTTTCACCATAACTGGATAGTAAAATGGTCAAAAACTCTCAACGTCTGTGAATGAGGCAAATCGGAAAAATGTCGTTTTTGGGTTATCTTGGAGCAGTTACTTTTTATTGCAGGTATATTGACGTTGACACCCATGCGTCAGGTTATTCACTTACGTTTCATGTATTTTCAAACTGATGATTAGGCAAGTGGTTCTGCTGCCGTCTGCGGGTCTTTATGCAAAAACCAAAGCTCGCATAAAAAAGAAACAAAATGTGTATCATTTTTTGCTCTGGCGTGTAATAATTTCCCTGCATTCTTAAATCAATTGATTGACAATAGTTTGGCGTTTTTGGAGCTTGTTAGCTATGGGTGCAAGTGCTTGGCTCTGTCACTCTCTAAGCTTTTTATAATAAACACAAACCGAGGATAGCCTTTAAAGGTCCATATAGTGCTGATAAGATGGAATAATATTTGTTTTTGACCTAATTCATTTCAGATCTGCAAACTGTACGAAGACAATAGTACTCTGTCATCACAATATATGACATTCATCGACGTGCCGATTACGCAAAAATATATATGTCATTCTCAATTGACTCAGGCTCGGTTTCCTTGCGTGAAGGGTTCAATGCTCCTTACAAATACTTCTCTGTCATGGGTTACAGTTGGTTCCATTTACTGCGGTGAAAAAAATGTACGTTCAGCCACTTATTAAAAAAGCTTTTGTTTCAAAAATAAAAAAGAACATGCTTGTGGCATTATGCTTTTTGGTGAAAAAAACGAAACCCTCTTAAGTGTACATCACTTGTTTTACGAAGTTAACTTTCTGTGCTCTGGGAGATGCGTTATGGAAGTGGATCTTTCATGGCACCTTGGGTATATTTTGACAAATATTTCTGGTCTTTGACACTAAACATATGCCGAAAAAGAAAGTTGTATAGAGAAAATATAACCAAATTTTTATGAGCAGCCCGACAAAAGTTTTCTCTGATTGTCGGAAGTTAGCGGCATCTTAAGGCATACTTTTGTCCAACGCCAAGACAAATCGGGGTGAAATTAATTCTAACCTAAATTTTCAGAAACATAGATAAGTTACTTTCTGTCCCTTTGATGTGTAATTATCCTTGTTCAACGTCTTACAACCGCATAAAATGTCCTGTTCTGCCACCTTATATATTAGGTGAGCACGGTTTTCTTCAAGGTCTCTTTCGAAAACGGACCACCTACAAATCATTTGGATAAGTACTTATCTCTGGACCAGCAAAGTAGGTTTCAAACTTTTATATTGTTTTAAGTAGGGATTATGAATTAATAAGGTGTTCTTGTGAGATTTTGCAACCAAACAAAGCAAGGCGGCATAGGAAATTGGACGAATAAACCGTTTCGAAAACATACCTATGTCATCTGCAGCCCAGTTAAATTTTCTCCCGACTACTAGGCTGGATTTTATTAAACTTTATCGTCCATTTTTAACCTTTTCAATGCCACACAGGATACGGTTTATGCGACTAGGATTGATTCCCTTTTGAACCATGTAGTAAATCCATTCGTTAGCAGAAGTCTCTGAAATGAATGGGTTTTCGGAAGGTGTACAACATTCTATATTACGTTGCAATGCGACGGTTTGCGAAATGCATAACACCATGATTCCAGTTTATCCTTGTGTGCAGTACAACCTGTCGACACTCTAAGGAGTTAAATTTAATTTTAAGACTAATTTTATCCTTTTACTACTATTTCAATGTATTTATTGAGCGCGATAAAGTCTCATATATTTCACGTTTCAGAAATAGGCATTCAGTAACAACGGCTAAAAATACACATTTTTTGGCGCTCTCAGAGCCACATCTGTTAGTAAGCATAAATCAGAATTGGACACGTCATCATACACTGATCGGCTTTGTTTAAACCACTGTGAAGCTGCGTGGATAGGTTCCACTTTATCAACATGAGCTTTATTTGCATTTGGTCTTAGAAAAAGTCAAAGATGTCTTCTCGTTGTCAGTAAAAGAGACTTATTCACTAAATCCTCATTTAATTAAGCTGACTCAGTCTAGTAAGTGTTCTAACGTCCACCAAAGCGAAATTATCAACTAGTGACGACGAAAGGCGCGATTATTAAATTTCAATATCGACTTCTATATGATTATCTTAGTCTGCCACCAAACCGGCCTCCTGGCAACTGACGGTCCGACCATCGTGCGCTACACAGCAGAGTGACGTGTGTGTAAATTAGTTTATAGTGGTAATAGGCTTGCAGCATCTACCGCATTCTATTATCCCCTCGCCTGAGGCCGGTGTCAAGACATGGTCACGAAGACCGAAAAGAGGAGAGGGCGCAGGTAGCTGGCATGACAGGAGCCACCAATAGGTACACCGTCACACCCATCGGTCCACAGCAAACACTTGTCGAGGATTTTAGCCGACAAAAATGGATTGGGAGGGAGAGAAGATGGCACGAGTCACTGGACAACCATGCACACAGCCCGTACACCCAACGGGAGCGCAAGTGCATCGACCGGAGTGGGATCAGGCGCCAGACAACCGCCAGCTCACATCGGGCTGCGAAGGCCATGGTTTGCTGAGGAAGGACATAGCAGACGCACACGGTCTGTAAGACCCACAAGCGACCCCGGCGCGTGATGCTGCAAAGTTAATCGTGGAGGATAAGGCATAATTAATTATTGAACTTAGGCAGGTTAGACTATTGAGGGCGATAAAAATCGTCGACACTACTTTATTGTCCTGAATGGTGAATCGGCTGCGGTCAATGAACCAAACTACAGACGACCACCATCAGTCTCTCCTTCGGCAAACGCGTCGAGGAAATTTTCCCATAGATTTCAGACCAAGTTAGCGGGAAAATAAAGCTAGATTTTTTCGTATGCGTGCTTTATGCTGCCAGATCGTAAATTCTGCTAACTGAAGACGTTTGAATGAAAAGGGCTTTAAAATGTCTAGTCAGTTCACTCGAGATTTGTCCCGGATTCTACTGACGGGGTTCGACGGCATCAGGTTATCTTGCATGGCTTGAAACTCTTCTCTTGTTTGGTTATCCCAATTAAGCTAAACGAAATCAACAAACATTTTTCTAATAAACGGATCTTAGGCATAACATTTACCAGTAGAATTTTAAAACGTGCCCCACATTATGTATCCTAGAGTTCATTTTTGTGGATATCGTCCTTGTGTTAAGAATCCTAGTGTTCAAACGCATGTCTATCAGCAATGATTCTTTCACAGCCTTAGTGAGACTGAAGGCCATAGAAGCGTGCTATGGGCGCCTCGCTCAAGTCCCTTAGCATGTCTAAAATTTAATATCCAAACTTCAGGCCATGCAAGTAAGGCGATCTACCAACTAATCAACTTCAACACTAAATGGTGTGTTTCAAGTTGACAGGTAGTGGCACAGAGATCTCCGAACATTCCTCCTATTAAATCAATTATTTATGGCTGGACTTTTGCCAGATCAAATTCCGTCCCTCCCTGTAGCTCCAAGTGATTGGGTGACTTTAAAGTGCAAACCAGAGCAAAAACTCAAACGGTTAGAGTGGTACTTTTGCCGATTTAGGCAGCACAAAGTGCTTTTTGCAGGACTCGTGCGCCAACGCAAATTAAATTGCCAGGCAGCATTTGCTGGGACGTGAGTGACCTAAAAGTCCCCATATTAAAACTCTAATGATACCATGCCTACCCAACCCTCCATAAAGTTCAAATTTGATTAGAGAGTCAACCTAATGTTCTCAATTAAGATGTCAAAAATCGGAGCGGATACTTCTATGCTGGTGAAACCTTTATGGGCGTAGCTTTAATTTTCAGCGAACCGAAATTATCAGCATGACATCTCTTATTTCATTCGCTGTACAGATTCCTCCAGCTACTGGTAATAGTCGGGACGGTAGTGAGACATTACCTTACTTTATAGATTTGTGTTTTCATAAGTACTTGTTCGAAATTAAAGCATCAAAATTCAGTGCGCCTCCCCCTCAGTTACTGAAACCTCTGTCGCCATGGCTACTTATTGTGACGACTCGAAGTGATCAGCATAACATCTCTTATTCCATTAATTTTTTAAAATAATCCAGCTACTGGTAGTAGTTGCGATGACAGGGAGATTTTACGTAACCGCATAGTTTCGCACTTTAATCATTATTGGGTAACGGGTAAAAATTTAATTTACAGATGTTAGTAGACAAAGCAGTCTTCTTTCAGAGTCATATTAGACCGTAACTCTAGTAAAAAGCCTCACCTGTCAGTACTGCAAACGATAAAATTTAGAATTTCCCCAAAATTGTTTTAATTTTTCACTACTTGACCACTTTAGGGCTTCCTGAGATGCTGACAGTCTTCGTCATTATCTACATCGTCCTTATTGGATTCGTTGTCCTCACCCTGGGTAAAGTAAACTGTATACTGCATTGTAAACACCTGCAGCACCTAGTAATATTGTTCTTCATTGCATTCCCGTCTTACTTCGTTAATTGAAGGAAGTCCATGCAACCCGACCTATGAAGCGGAAGTGAGTTGGATAGAAAAAGTCGCAAGAGTTGAATTATCAGCCACATTTTCGTAAAATTTCAGATTAACATTCGAAACCCCTGCAGGCCAACTGCACAGATAGAGGCAGGGACGACCAAAGAGAGTAGGTCGGGCACTATGCGACTCTCAAGTTAAATCAACCAAGTTCTATAATCAGTGGATCCTTCTTACAGCTTTGCGTGCGTGATTTGAAACATCCTTCTTCGGTCGACAAAACTCCCCGAGATGATGAAGGACTATTTTGAAGTAGAAACTGCATGTGAGAGATTGACGACGAAACTGATAGAACTCCTAAAACGCTGTCTTTTCGAAGCCCAGGGGAATCGCCCGGCACTATTGAAGTAAAAACGGGTGGGACGACTGGGATCGTTTGTCAACCGCAGATAACGGCCAGAGTTCCACACAAACAAACGAAAAATCTCTTTTTATACTTGCCTCAACTGGTGATGAGCGTCTATGTACGTTTTCTTGCGAACCAAAAAATGAGATAAACCAACTCTATCAACGTAGTGCACGTTCTTCTGGACTGATGGCAGTGTCTTCCCACGAAATCATAGATGGCTTTCTCACCCCGTTTGGTTCTGAACACTAGGCTTCCTGTGAGAAGGTAGTCTCACCCAGTCATATGAAACCTTCCCTAAATTCGTCCCTTCCAGTTCAGCACGACCCCGTGTCTGTCGGCGTGTTGCACGTGCCACATGGTCTCCCTAAAGAAGACCCTCTGATAGGTTCACTTATCATCACCAAGAACACCATGGGGGCGATAGTTTCTAAAGAACAATGCTTTGTCCAGTCTGATGCCTCTTCAAATCCTCTGCAAACCCTCCAAGGGACCTTCATCCCACCACTGGAACATGGAAGTCTGAGAATAATTACATCTGCCTCATTGTCTATTCCTGCGATGGAGGCCACTTCTGCCGGTGTTCTTGAGGGAGGATGACCAGAAAGGTTGGATCGAATCTCCCCCAGATGGAGGAATATCTTTCAGAAAAGAAAAGTGAGCGGACATTACTCAGGTTGAAAAGTATGAGAGTGTGGATCACACCGCAGAGCCTGACGAGAAGTCCAAACTCGAACATATTCCGAAGGCGACACCCTCTGATGACACCGCCTTCCACCCGTATCCGAATATGAACCAAGGGACGCGATCGATAAATCCTGTTGGGAATTCAATTTTTAGCACTAGATTTCTATTTACCTGCCACAACTTCTTTACTAGATGACGTTTAAAGTTTTGTTCTGCCGGTTTTTTTATTGGCCTTATCATGCGCGGTTGTTGGTCTAACAAAACTGTACAACGGTTGCTGCTTTCCATGTACCGACAGGACGTTGTCTTAGTCGCACCTCTTCTGAGCATTACGCAAATGCACAACTCACCAGCTTTAAAATTTCGACACTTCATTTAGTGGTGAAAACTATGCAGAATATTAAAAATGGAAAGAAGTCTGCACAACTTCCACGGGAGATTCCTTAGTAGTGAATAACATCGTCATAGTAGTTTGTTGCATTTAGGACTGCATTGCTGTTCAGAAGTGTGATTGTAACAACGTCCTTCCGAACCGACCGGCTGCAAAGGTCAAGTGGAGATGTGAGACCACTCAGCGGACTCATGCCTCGTATACATCATGGCCCACATAACTCGCAGTTATGCTGCAGGAAGATTAGGAACGTTCGCTTTCGAATTTCGACACCACAGGCTGCAGAACAACGTTAGTAGTTTTGACCGGCCAAAATCTCTCAGAAGAGCTCACACACTTGAAGACCCGTCCGGACCGTTTGTTGTCCAGTAAAAGATGTGCTTTTTAATCCCCAACTGAGGTTTTTTTGAATTTATGGCTTCCTCCTGCTTCAAGTGCGTGGTAAAATCTCCACCCAATAAGGTCCAGTTTTAGAATGGTAGAAGTAGAGGTCTTTGCAAATACAAATTTTCTATAAAGAGAACAGAACTTAACAGTACCGGGACATGACGTTATTCTTGTGGACTTCCAGGAATTCTCACGAGTGCGTCTAACGATAAAAGAAAGAACTATGGAGGATAGTGGTAGCTAATCAAGGCACAGCTTCAGTCCAGTGAAGCCACCTTAAGATTGTTACATAAAATTTATTACAGACTAGGATGATTTCCTCACATCCACCTTCCCAATCCTGCTCCCTCGACGGTGAACAGTTCAGGAGGCCTGTGGATCGGTTTATAACCGTGAGACGATATCTCGCTTTGGACGAATCGGAACTGAGCCCAATTTGTTGGTACTCACATATCGTTTAAAGCATAAGACAGAAGCTTGCCTAATAGAATTCATTGAGGCACTTTACGGTTCCTCTCTTGCATCTCAAGAAACGGTTTATTCTGATGTTCCAAGTCGAACTAACCGACAATAAATTAGTTTTTTCCTTTTAAGGGAAGCTTCGTGAAATACGGATGCTTCATACCACCTTTCTGTTATTCTTCATTGGAATTCTGTTTCGCGCTATATCACTAGCTGTGCAAATGCTCAGCTGGTGGTTATTGGTCATTTCTGGCCAGAAGCCTCCTGCCCTGGACATGATTGGTAGGTAGAATTTTTTATCGTTAAATTTCTTTATCTATGAAATTTCTTACGTTTGCCTGTTATTTAACCTAAGACCGCCAACTAGCGACACACTGATTTTTATAAATACTTTCCCCTACATAGGTTTCTACCAAGGGCGACGGACAATTTAGAAGTTAAAAACAGCGAGGAGGGGTTGTTTCTAGAATAATAAGAGGAGAAGAATGTATGGCCTGTTAAGAATTTTACCTATTTATCACGCGTAGCAAGACAGTGTCGCAGAGCGAAGGTGTGCTTTTCTACATGGTGTGCGACAGGCTAAATTAATATGCACTCATGTTTCTTCGATTGTCAAAAATACACGAATAGGGAACAGAAAGGGTGAGTTGCACGCTTTCCCAGTGTAAAATTACTTACTTAGACCGAAGAATTTCCACAAAATATGACTAATCAGCAGTCATAAACTATCATGATAAGGTAGAGTGAAACGTCCATTTTTGCATTATGTTCAAAAACGCATCAAGTATTGATATAAAGCTAAAACCGTGGCCATTTACGGCATTTGAAAGACGTGCCCCGCCCTTTCTAGCAAGATCAAAAGAAATTGTGAGATTTGTTGCTAAGCCTACACAGGGGACAGTTTGAGAAATTGAATGTACGCTTTAAGCTTGACGGTAGCCTAACAAATCATGAATAAACGAAGTCGATAAAACATAATTTTTTAGAGCTTTTAGATATTAAATATTCAGAATCCCTCCGTTCGCGTAACGTTTAAAATAAGAAAGGGATATATTTTCATCTTCAATGCTAAAACAACCGCCGTTCTTTAATCCTGCTACGCAATCCAAGGCATATTTTAATAAGTCAATGCGGGTGCCCCAATGGACAGGTACATAAAACCAAGCGGTCATGGTTTGCATGTTCACTGAGAACTGCTCTAGACAGTCGTTGGCATAACGACCAGTTTTTGTCTTCCGACGTCCCTGTTCGTCATAAAGGAGACTAAAACGTTCATTTTCGCTTTTTGTTTAAAAACTCATCAAGTATTGACATAAAGTTAAATACTGTGGTCATTTACGACATTTGAAAGACGGCCCCTGCGCTTTCTAATAAGATGTAAACGAAATTGTAATATTCTTTGTAGCACATACGTAATGCGTAGTTTTACAAATGTAATGTTATCTTAAAGCATATTAGTACCTTAGCACACTACAAATAAATAAAATTGCAAAACATAATTATTCAGTGCCTTTAAGCATAAAATACTCACAAGTCCACTGCTTTACGTAGGACTAAACATCACAGATTGGTATGTTTATTAGTATTATTAAGGGAAATATTATTTAATCCTGTTATGCAATTCGAAAATACTTTAATAAGTCCATGCAATTGCCCCGATGGGCAGGTACATAAAAAATAACCGGTCATGGTTTGTATGTTCACTGAGAACTGCTCTAGACTGTCGTTTGTATAACGACCAGCTCCTTCCCTCGGATGTTCCTATAATGTCTTCGTTCATTGCCTACTCATCTTATTATTTTCGGAATTTCCTGGTTTGCTCAGTGTATCCTGTTTTTTGCACAAAATGCGCAGTATAGCGCAAAGGGCCTTTAGTACATGTTTCCCTAGTAGAAAATTCACTTAAATGACAACTAGAATTAACTGAAACCATAGATTTGTGTGCCCATATACTACAGTCGGAACCGCTGGTAAATGCAAATTCGAGAAGACCATATAGATAACAATATGCCTCTTAATTTAAACGATTTTTTCTGAAGCTTTACTTTGAAGGTTAACAACTAATATAATCGCCTACTTTTAGGTGCAATTTTCTCGCTAGGAGCTAATTTTATTTTCATCTGCAATGCACTGAGCATCGCGTTCGGGTACACGATCGTCTGTGGCCAGTTCAACTTCGAAATATGCAATCTCTACGGTGGATTCATCCTGGTCTACATTGTTGGTAGTGGGGCGCTCGGTGTACTCGACAGCTGGGTAGGTTCATGGGCTCTTTTTGTTTTTCTTCCAAAGCACGCAGCATACTAATTTTTCAGGAGAGCATTATGATCGACAACGTACTTTCCAACTGATGCGGGTGAAGGTTAGACGAACCACTATGCTGTGAATCCCGTGATATTTTTTATTATTAACAAGAAATATTATTGACAAGAGAAACTAGAGTGTTTATTTCCAATCTTGTTAGTCATCAGTCAGACATGCCCTGACCCCTGTCTGGCAGATGCAAAATTCAGAAACGGCTTAAGGTTCTCAGTGGTCCCGGACTAAGTCCCCGCCTGTTGCAACATCTGATTAAATGAGAATTTGCTGTGAGCCTGCATGATTAAAAGTACGGACTTGGATGACGAGCTGATCCTCTAAGTGTAACACAGCGGCTATGAATGAACATATACAATCGCCCACTCTCCATCAACTCTCTGCTAGACTGTGTGGTGTTTAAGCCAATCGAAGACCTGTGCTGTGAGTTAATGATGCATATGATCAGAAGAAGAAGAAGAAGCGACCGCTGGAACAAGGTCTTTATTCGCCTGACGTTTCGGATCCGCACTTGAATCCATCATCAGAAACAGTAGCAGAAAACGGGTGACTCGTGCACAGGAAGTTGCAGTATTTATAGGATGCAGTCGCTATGCTACTGCATACCCATAACAATTAACCGCGCTCCCCTTCATGAAGGGTCGTTGCCCGCTGGTGCGCTAATTGCTTGCTGGCCGGCATACAAGTTGTTAATTGCTGACATCTCATCACCCGTGTTGGATGCTGGCGTGATGATTGCTCGGCCATCTGGCTCACCGGCTTGCGCGCGCCCCGAGTGGTCAATTAACTTGGCCAGCCTATGCCTCAGCACGGAGTATGGAGTGGGCATGTCGTTGCACTTGTTGATAGATTGAGGTCCCGTGAACCATGACTCGAGCAACTCGCGGCTCCCGCGATTATCCCCTCTCGTGAGGATTTCGGCCTCATCGAACTTGAATGTGTGGCCGGGTCTCGTCGAATGGGCTAAGACCTAAGAGTTGGCGTCATTTCTCCGTACCGCCGCCACGTGTTCGGCGATTCGCGTCCGTAACAGTCTTCCAGTTTCTCTGACGTAGTTACTTTGTCCGCAACTGCACAAGATCCGGTAAATAATTCCAGATGTTTCATACCGTAGCAGTGGGTCTTTTGGTCTCATCACCTGACGCCTCATGGTGGCTTACGGTCTGTGTGCAACTCCAACCCCAAGAGGTGCAGGAAGGCGGCTAACGGCCTCGGAGACGTTCTTGATGTACGGGATCGCTCGCCAGAATTTGGGGTCGGCACGGTTTTGTCACTCGTCTCGTTTGCGCATACACCGGTTGACGAAGTTGTGCGGTTAACCATTCTCTGAAAACCCGTCGAACCTTGTCTTCCGGTTCACTGCAGTGCGTCTCAACACGCCGATATAGCGTTCTTACGCAACTGCGTTTGTGGCTGATTGGGTGGTTACTGTTGAAGTTCAGTATTTGCGTCGTGTTCGTCGCTTTTCGGAACACTTTGGTTCTTAGGCCACCACAATCTTTGCGGCAGATGAGGACATCAAGGAATGCCAGCTGGTTATTTTTTTCCTCCTCTATTGTAAATTTTATGTCTGGGAAGACGCTGTTGAGACGTTCTTTGAACGTTAGTACTTGATCTCGTTCGATGAGACAAAGGTATCGTCCCCATACCGAGCCCAGAATTTCGGTCTGTGGAGTTGGAAAACCAGCGACTCCAACCGCTGTAGGACTGCCTTGGCGATGAATCCCAAGATCGGCGAGCCCATTGGTGTTTCCTTCACTTGCTCGTAGATTGTTCCGTCAAACGTGAAGTACGTCCTAAAACAGAACTTTAGGAGCTGAAGGACTTGGGCATGTCGGAGACGATTCTCCATTTCATTGTACTTGTTTCGTAGGAGTAGCTGGACGGTCTCGATCTTAGGTCTTAGCCCATTCGACGAGACCCGGCCACACATTCAAGTTCGATGAGGCCGAAATCCTCACGAGAGGGGATAATCGCGGGAGCCGCGAGTTGCTCGAGTCATGGTTCACGGGACCTCAATCTATCAACAAGTGCAACGACATGCCCACTCCATACTCCGTGCTGAGGCATAGGCTGGCCAAGTTAATTGACCACTCGGGGCGCGCGCAAGCCGGTGAGCCAGATGGCCGAGCAATCATCACGCCAGCATCCAACACGGGTGATGAGATGTCAGCAATTAACAACTTGTATGCCGGCCAGCAAGCAATTAGCGCACCAGCGGGCAACGACCCTTCATGAAGGGGAGCGCGGTTAATTGTTATGGGTATGCAGTAGCATAGCGACTGCATCCTATAAATACTGCAACTTCCTGTGCACGAGTCACCCGTTTTCTGCTACTGTTTCTGATGATGGATTCAAGTGCGGATCCGAAACGTCAGGCGAATAAAGACCTTGTTCCAGCGGTCGCTTCTTCTTCTTCTTCTTCTTCTTCTTCTTCTTCTTCTTCTTCTTCTTCTTCTTCTTCTGATCAACTAGTTCCTGGAACTCGCGGCTTCGCTTGTATCGGTAATGATGCATCTGTTAACATCGGTAATGTTAGGAAAGAGACGATGGTTTAGCTGACTCATCCGGTCGCAGAAAGTCTTTCATAGGTCGAAGACCATATGCAAGTTCCGTCCTTACACTAAAATTAGTTGTTTATTTCACCGCGGCAGAGTACATGCATTTCTTCACCTGAGCAAACATAGGGTAATCGATTGTTTTAATAGGGCACTTTGTTTTTTCCTCGGGGGTTGAGTTCCGACCTGATGTGACATTTGTGCGTGCAGTCTACTGTGTAAACTAGACCCGATTACTTGTACAAAAGCGGTCCCTACTTTATACCGCGACGAATCCAGTGAAAGGTTTTGCATTATAATGAGTTTAGCCGACAATTAGGCAAACAACCGCTTGGCGAACACCGATAATCGGCACCCGGTGGAGCCAGAAAAGAAGAAAAAATCGTAAAGAAGATGAACACACGATCTCTGGGGCAATTGGTGTAGTAGCCTGGGCTTTCGGTCTCGTACAGGATGCCATCGTCAGAGACTGTAAGAACTCGGCATCAAATGAGAAGTTTTCTTAGTCAAGCCATGAAGGGGGGGGGAGATATGAGTGCAGAGGATGGTATTCGCGATAAGCTGAGTCCCACGCCGTCTCACGGCGGCGTGACTGCGTGCACCCTTGGCTGCGGGAACGGAGCGCGTGATAGCAGAGGGGCATGTCAACATGTTTGTTAATAGAGTTGATGTCAGACACCCAACAGTTCTCGGCCTGTCTTATTGTTGGCCCGCGCTACCATCCGCGTGCTCGCGAAGTTGAATCCGTAACCTTCCCCCAGGGTGTGAGTGGCGACTTGGGACAACGGGTCGCCTCTCCAGACTAGACATTTCTGCTATTGTATGTATCATCTTCTGGTAAGCAATCTAATCAAGTCTTCGAGTGGTGCGGGAACGCTAACCACTATCTGTGCAACACTTCACCACGCGAAATGCGCCGTCGGCACGTCTCCTAAGACCATTTACTTCGGTAGATTTGGTCCTTCTCGACGAACAATCATACATCGCACTTAACTTGGAAGAGATATCATTGGTTAATTTGATGCATTGGACTTCCGATCTTGGATAAAATATGTGAGTACAATTGCGCTGACTGTCTATCAAATTGACGCAAAATTCATTCCAGTTTTCGAAGCCTGAAACTTTTGAGTTGTATCTGAGTAAATGGTTTATCTGATTAGATCCATGTCATACGTCAGTAGATGAACAGCTTTAGTCCAATTTGCCCAGGCAGGTGACTTTGTTTTCACTGGCTACTGACTGTTCTAGGAGTTGAAAACTTGACTGAGAAAATCGTTAACGGCGCGAAATCTTAACAAATGAATAATTACTGAACGTCCGGATTAACTGTGTTTCAGACATTTTCGTGATGGAAAGAACCGTTTTGAATAAACATGGGCGCATCCTTCTGATGCTGATGAAAATCAATTTATAACATGTGTACTTCGTAAAACAACGGCGAAGACCAACGCGAAAGACCAAAACACCGGGCATCTAACCAGTCTTCGACATGTGGATAAAAGAATAACGATAAGTTGAACAGAAGTCGATTAAATAATGAATAGCAGGTTTACTCCGCAATTTCTTTGAGCGATATCCTGACCAATAATGATCCTATGAAACATTTACTGGCTGATAATTGGTAGAATTACAACGTCAGTGCACTTTCCTAAATCCAAAGAACAATAAAATATGTCCCGTTGTGTGTACAGTAGTCTGCGATCAGAATAATCTGTAGTGACCTCTTGGAGTCAGTTAGAATACCACTATGGCAGTGTACGTACTTGCACTTGACAGAATATTATAGAATATGCGCCACGAGCTTGCTGCACTAATTAGGTGTCTAGGTCCTTTCCTTGTTCTAAACAAACGTCAGCCATAGGCTTCGCAAAAGACATCCCAAAGGTTTAGCAAATTGTTTTACAATTTCTGCCCTCCTCAGCTCTTTTTATTATACCCATCACTTCTCGAAGCACCCCGGTATAATTTGTGACCGGACAACAGCTGAAAACACCGCGAAATAAATGGATGACCACGTAAATGTTAAATTCCATTGTGATGCAATAGGTGAAGTCATATCTCGTTGGAAAACTGTAAGGTGTAGGATAGTTTAAAGTTACTAAATAGACGTTACCTTAATTTAATTTATACGCATATGAAGCCAGTAGTTTAAAACCACATGTTATTCGACGGTCGGGGATTTCGCTTATTGCCCTACAATTAACTGACAACAAACCGCTAATTTGGCAAGATTGGATGATGACTAGAAGGTGCGATTGGTTGTCCGTTTCGTTCTTCACGAGGGATTACATATATCTGGTATGTGTCAGCTCTGCTCTTCTCGAGATGAATTGAGGAAAGTCTCCAAACTCCCTCCAGATGCTGGTGAAATTAGTGATAAGTCCTTTATCTGCGCGCGCATTGCTCCATCGGAGGTGTAAGAGGCCTTAGACCAAAGCCAATTTGTCATAGAGTACTGTCATGTTAAACGATCCCAACATGGTCTGTGAAAGCACGTGCTGTGGACATTCAGATAGCGTCTGAGTGCCTTTCACGGATCTACCCCGATTGTAGAACGACGATTGGCGTTTAGCTGCCGTTTCGCGATGGCCAACAGACTCAGGTTAAAATCTCAATGTGATGGTCTGCTTGATGATAAATGATGATGGAAGTGGCCATTCTAAGGTCACTTGTAACCGTCATTGCCGTGGCGCCATCCTTAAAATATTACCATTTTTTCTTTGTAAAATATATTCCATGCAGTTAACTTTCTGATTCCCGTCCTGGCAAGTCGTTTATTTTTGTTCCTAGTATTTGCTTAATAGGAGCTTTTGCCAAAATTGCATAGGCAAGCAGACTAAATTGTGAAAAACCTAGAGACGTCTGCCCAGAGGTGTAATGATCGTAGAATATACTCTAGGATTCTGTTGATCGTAGCACGATAAACTTGGCGATGGGGACCTTCGCCAAAGTGACACAGAAATGTGAACAAATACAACTTACTTATTTCTTTTTAGTAACCAAATTAACCACTGTACTTGTCTAACTGTTTGACCGCCTGACGCCACTGGGTATTCCTGGATCCCCGTCTTTAGCGGCCTGCCATGAATTCGCCTTCTGAGCCCCAACGACTAGCAGGGTCACTGTTTAAAAAGAATAAATTAAACGGGTTGGTAAAAGGAGGTTTAATTGTATTTATTATAGAAAAACTTGCATGCTTATTGAAAAGGTTTAAAAATGGATTGAAACCATCTCAGGCGTCTCGTCCAGCAAATCAAATGTGAACACTTTAGTTAACCATAGGACACGAATTGAATACTTGTTAAAGTTTCGATGGGTAAGTACTTGGGTTTCAAAGATAGGTCTCTTCACAGATGTCTAGCATGCGAAAAACGTTTAAACCTCTCAGAAACAGGCACAGTCGATGAGGAGAGTCAGGTTCATTCATTCACCGGTCAGAGACTGAGCTCGAGATTCTCCAACTCAGCCTGCGTTAACCGTTCTACACATCCTATTATGTGTGGGAGTTCGAATCTATGCATATTATAGTAAAAGAACGTCGATAGGTCTTCTATTTATTCGTTGTCAGTACAGTGTTCGAAATTCTGTCAGTCGTCACGATTCCTTCCAAATTCTCAAAAAATAAATAGCACTTCTGTTCGAACCCAAGTGATTCTGATTAGATGACTCAGAGAGCTCTGGTAACACATCAGTCCTGAGGCTCTTCAGAGGCAGTTAACCTTCCATTCAAGTTGTCAAAGCCAGCGGGAAACTGAATTTCACTTCCTGATCTGAACTCATCACTTCCGTTCCTGTCATTTTCAGACTACCGATGCAGACCGATTTTTCGTCTATGAAGCTGATGCCGGTCTGGGCTTCCTCATGCTTCGTCTTTTTGGTTGGTCTGTCACCTTGGGCGCCTGTATATTCACAGTCTTCCATCACAGGCAGAAGATGAGATTCTACTCTGCCTTCATACCGACTATTTCTTTGTGGTGAGTGACGTCTGTCTCTACAAACTCATTAAATTTGCTCCATTAAAAAAATATGAAATTGGCACCGGTTAATTCTAAAATTGGAAATCTGTGATTATAAATATTATCTTTGGCCACTTCTCGAATAAGAGTTAAAAAGTGTTGTTTTGATCGCCGAGGATTGACTGTAGTCCATACCAACCCCTCTATTATTCCTTTCCGTCATCTATTTGTCAGGAAGTGAACTAGCTGAAGAAAAGGACTCTTACTATCGTAGAGAGATGCTCACCAAATGCTTTAAGGGTTGTAATATAATAATAATAATAATAATAATAATAATAATAATAATAGTGTATTTAGTGTAATAGGCAATGCCCTTGATGACCCTATTAAAAACAGTACGTACGATGTAAATTTTAAATGCATAACTTACTAAAATTTTGTCAGTACCATATTTGTTTACGGAAAACATTTTTACTGTGCGAGGCTGTGAAGGCTGCGGCAGGGGGGTCTTTTCAATGCGCATATGAGATTTTAAGTGTAATTATATACAATCAGCATAAAGTGCTGGTGAATCAGGTTGTACTCGCCTTTCCACGATATCTTATACGCCCGATCGCAACTGACATGTCAGCGGGTCCGTGGATCAATAGTTAGAGCGTTGAGCTAGCAACCAAAACAATGCAAGTTGGCAACTAAACAAGGAAGTGGCGTAATTCTAATGGACATAAAGGACCATATCTCAAAACTACATCTAATGCTAGTTCAGGCGAACAAATTTACACTGACCGACTTAAGGAGAACAATGGATATAACGTGAAAATACGGCTAGCAGAATCACTGTAGGGGTTGACGGAAGTAAGAACTTTGACTAATCAGGAATTCGAACATCCTAAATTAGTGGGAACATGTATTCCCTAATATTATTGTTTGAAAAAGAACTAAAACGTTTATTCTAAACATGTAAAATTTGCCGCCCGGTGGCAGCTAAATGCCTTGCAATTATAGCAACACATTGTAACTTGTCAAAGATTTTAAGTGCGGACGGAAGAGCAACGTTCACATTGAATTTGGCATTCATGCCTGCCAATGTGCTGTCCGCTGAAACTGTCACACACATTTGCAAGCGCATGGAAAATAAAGATTGCGAGGTGTTGAAAGCATCACCGCCAAAGTGTGCTGCAACTGAACAAGTCCATTTGACAGAATATTTAAAAGACATAAAAGTCAAAAGTATGGCCGTATATCCGGACCTATTAGTAGCCACCTCCTGAATTTGAAAGAAATCCTTCAACTGAAATTGGGCGATTGAACTGTGCAGCTGCAGTTTTATGGCCGTTAAGTAGATTGTGTAACATTGATACTGTCCGACCTAACCGTCACAGCTCCGACGGCTCGTTTATTTCCTCAAGCACGTCTACCAATCAGATTCATCCTGGCGACGTAGAAAGAAAAGACGTCCATCCAGCAGCTGGTTGACTGTCGACGGAACAGCCAAAGGGGGGTATATATTGGAGGGAAACTTGGTCAGAACGGTATATGAACTTTAATAGGCTGAGCATCCATGGGAAAAATAGAGTCTGGTTCAGAGTTTTGCTGACAGAACCAAAAGGAATAGCTCGCTAGAGGGCATCGATGAAGAAATAACGACTGGTTGCGGGAATGTGGACTCTTCACTATATTGCAGGTGGCATTGCCCCAAATTCGAGGGGCGGGTGATGAGGTCAATGTTTGGGATAGGGTTAGTGCTAAAGTAAGTATAACCTTTGAAGGATGAGGGCCCAGGCAAGTGAAGCGCTGCGTATCCCCCTTCTGGGCCTCAAGGACGGCAACCGTCTGCTATGCTAAGATCAACAAACATCGGTCTTCACATCCTGGTGCGCACTGGCAGCTCTAAGACATCTGGTTTCTTGCCGGTAGATACGCTTATGCTCCCGCTTGGTATACAGGTCGTGAGCACGGCTACCCATTCTGACCCGTTATTGTGTTGCTGTTGTTGGTTAAAATCCTGGTCCAGTGCTGTGTGGACCAGGGGTGTGGGATAGAGCGCAAAGGTGCGAGCTCAGCCACGCCATCCACTTACGTCCTACCCATCTCCGGTCTTCTAGATTTTGTCTTGATGCCGGGTCCCACTGGGGGAGGAGGGGAGAGTGCGGTAGATGCAGCGCAAGTCTACATCCACTAAAAAACAACTTACACACAAATCGCTGTCTCTGTTCTCATCCTCCTGTGGGGCACACGGTGGACACATCATCTACATCAACGGTCGAGATGTCTTTATGGTATGTAGGGTTGGGGTTAGGTGAGGTAATGTTAGCCTCGGGGTTGGAAGTAAGAATATGAAGGTTAGGGTTAGGGTTGAAGACCAGATACGGAAATTTGATCCTCCCATGCGCCATGCTACCGAGAGAGGGTCAATAATTCCGTGTCCGACAGAATTAAGTAGTATCCGCGGTATGCTGAAGGAGAGGAGCCACCCAGAAAGATGTAATGCTGCAAATTTAGGACAGATTGTTGCTGAAAATAAAGGTCTCAGCTGTGACTTCAGTATGTCGGGTCGTTTCAGGCGCATTAACGGGTACCAAAGTCGACGTTCACTTGCCTACTGCCTGGGTCAACGAACAGGGGTAGAGAAAAGACAAGCGGCGGTCAACCGGCCTTCATGTGAATTTACTCCTTCGATAGCCCCTGTTAAGCATGCCTTACCAATTTAGTGGCCTGATAAGCGAACGTTAATATGTATGAACGGTTTGAGGAAGGCCAATCTGGGTGGATAACCGTGTGAACCGGGACCCCCAGGTAGCCGAAGAACTGAAATTTCTTTTGACATCGCCAGAAAGGGTGAATGGCAATACAACTGCACATCCAAATGCTCTGCGTGCAAAATAATCTCGTGTGCGGTCTGTAGGTACGAGGGCCAAATACTGACAATCCGGAGACCCCCAACAACGCTCTAATTCAGTCACTCATTGTGGCGTGGTATCCCGGATTCCACTTATCTTCACTATACCCGCTCCTGAACAGTCCATACCAAACGACCCAGTCTCTATCGCTTCGTAATTTCATCGGCCATTTTTCGGAAATCCAATTTTACCTAATTGCCTTTTTTCTCAAGCTTATGCTCTGGAAGTAGAGCACAAAACTGAAGTTAGCTTTTAAGAGGGACTTGAAAGTTTCTCATGGGGTTTGATTGTTGATTTCGACTATGTCCATCGTGTGCTCCACAGCAGGGTGAGAGTAGGGGCAGTCACATGCGCATGAATTTGTTTCTAGCGATATTACGCTTGCGAGGTTTCATCTGTACTCTCTCCTCCTCTCGCACCCGGAGTCAAGAAGACCAGATGCGGGAGAGGATGCAGGTGACTGGCAAGGCGTAGATCCACGCCTAGGCGTACCACCACGTCCTTTGGTCAACAACTTATGTACACTAGTGAGGACTGTGAACAGCAACACAAAGGAGAAGGCGTCTTGGATCCAAATTATCGCGGCTTGCGCCTGCACATGCGCCTGCCGTACTCCGATCTAGCGTCCCGTGTTAATCCAGCGGGTTTACGGTGTGACCCGCTTTAGGGCACATTGAGCGCTGATACTCGGTTTTTGGCACACAGTCGTCCCCAGTAGACCTTTGTGAGTTCTTTGCATTAGACAGTCAAGGAAGACCATTTCGAGAACAAGTGTGCCGTTTTCAGCTCCGTTTGATGCAAGCAGAAATCAGCCAGACTCCTCAGCCTTCAGGAAGGCAAGCATTTCATCATCGTACAGTCATAATCTTTTTTAGTGTGGCTTGAGGCTTACAGGTTATTGATGGATGCTCGTACAGACTCAACGCCAAAATCGGTTTATCCAAATTTTTCAGAACGGGGTTACGCTGGCCGTCTAACGTTGGCTGAAAACTCAGCATCTTTTCACCCAGTGTCAAGTTTGCAATACGGTCTTCCCAAGTCAAATTCAATTATTTCCAACCGATAACGGGAGATTAGTCGGTCTCTATCCCACTATTCTGAAATTACGTAAAAAAGCTCTTTCGCGAACGTGGCTAACGTGGCATATTCAAATAACATCTAGACAAATCTATCTTCGGCAAATAGGCATTCGGAGATGGCATCGGCAACGAAATGCTATCAGCGGTCGTGGCAAGGAACACTAAAACAACAACTGCCAACTACAGAGGACTCATCGGAAATTTGTCCACGCAGTCCGCTTCTGTTTATACAAAAATTTAATCCATTTTCAAGCGCATCTGTTCACTTTTCCGTTTCATTCTGGTAAATTTGGGATTTATCCATCTCCACGTGCAATGTTAAGTATGCTGCTAACTAACAGGCTTGAAGAAATTTTACACAAAACGCACGTTCGCAGAAGGGTCCTTCGAATCAATAAAAAGGATGTTTACTCATCCAAAACCGGTTTTAATTCATACTATATAAACCAGAACCTTGAAGTCAAGAAACCTCGTTTTGGTGCCGAATGACGAAGTGTTGACCTTGTTTCGTAATATCATCCGTTTGAATGCGCCTCAGCGGGTATAATCTACCTCGCGATGGTTTATGATTTCGGTCTTTGTCATGTATCTGGGTGTTTCATGCGGCCATTAAACATGCACCCTTGTCTTTTCCCATACAGGTACCTGGTCCTGCCTTTAACTGTTTTAATGGTCAAGGGCAGCATCGTCGACTACAATCGAGCAAGGATTGTTTACGCTGTCGAGTTAATCCTCGATCTCTTCGCAAGTGTCGCAATTTTGGTAAGTCACCCCAATAGAACAGCTAGCGTCCCTCGGTATATGCATTGCGTTTTAACAATGCGATGTCATATTCCAGACCCGTTTCTTTTTTCAGTTGCAAGCTTAAAAGAGATGCATTCCGCGTCACATATGGAGTAATCTGCGCAGAAAAAGGCAGGGCGATAATGTCCTTTTATTATTCTGAAAGACAAAGATTCACGGAAGGTGTGAATTATAAAAAGATCAAACATCGGTTTGCGTTGGGTAGATAATGAAAAGATTGTGCGATGTAGGGGTTGCGTGCGGTTGACATCATCATGCTAATCCAGCGAGCGGGCCAGTCTTATTAAATACTGCATGATGTGGAAAGAGCGGATTTCAGGGGTATGGTTGACTGACGACGACACCTAGGCTAGAAGACGCTAGTACAGTCAAACTTGTCTTTGATGATATTCCTCCTCGTCTTCTCGCTCCACTTGGAGTTAGGGTTGCCCACAGGCCGGTAGCAACAATCGGGCACCGAGTCATGAGGCCAGAAGACCCACTGCCACGGCAGGAAACATCAGGAGTCATTTACCGGATGCGGTGCAGTTGCGGACAAAGCAACTACGTCGGGAAAACAGGGAAATTTCCCCGGACGCGAATGGTGGAGCACGCAGTAGTAGTAAGTTGGGAGACGCTTGCTCTCAGGGGGTCACTCGACGGGACCCGGCCATATTTTAAAGTTTCAAGAGGCGGAAATCCTCACAAGGGGTGACAACCGCGTGAGCCGCTAGTTGCTCGAGTCATGGTTTTCAGGTCCGCAATCTATCAACAAGAGCAGTGAACTCCCGTTACCGTATTCCGTGCGGCGATTTTCCCTGAGCAGGGGGACAGTCACGTGGGGAGGGCGCGGGCGAGCAATTATTCCAGTGACACTGAGCCAATTTGTCGAGCAATCGTCACACTAGCATCTAACACGATGACGAAGTCGCAGCTATTAACGACGCGGATGCGGATTGACAAACCACCGTCGCATCATTTAGGACCCCAGCGGTGATTTCGAGAGCTGTTTATTACAATGCAGCCACTTGCTATAAATACTGCACTCCTTGTGCCACTATTAGCCTTATCTGCGTCTGTCCCTGATGATGTGTGCGAGTGTGAATCCGAAACGTCGGGCGAATAAATTTCTTGTTCCAGTAAGCGCATCTTTGTCTTCTGAGATTCCTCTTCATTGTTGATTGACTGTCCCGCAAGTACCTAGATAAAGCACCACTTTCACATGGCTCTGATGCCTTTCACTTGTCCGCTCCTCAACTTGTCTTTTTCTGATGAAAGTAAGTAGACCAGCAACGGACCATGCAAATTACACTCTAAACAGCCCCTTCAGTTTTCCCAGAATATATGTTAGGTCAGTTGTTTTGGTCGTGTCCGCTGGTGGTCCACCGCTGGTCATCGGTTTCTTGTTTAAAAAGCACTGGGCTACTGTTATAATTTTAGTAACATGTCAGTGACGCGTAATTGCACTCAGGGGAGGTTGTGGGGCCAGCTGTATTGGGCGCCAAAAGTACAGAATTCAGAGGACAGGGCAAAAACACGTTTGCGGGAGAAGGGTAGCAATACTTTTGGCTGACTATGGCGAAAGGTCGATGGGCCCACATCTGCAAATGGGATGGGATTGGCCGACGTCTAGACTGAAGTTACACCCGCTCTGCCCTACACACGCGGATTAAGACATCCCAGATCTTTTGCATGCGGGTGCAACACAAGATGCAGAGCAGAAGCACATAATGCCGACCGGGTCACAGGACCGATAGATCATCGTGCAAGTTCTTGTGGATGGCAGGCCTATCATGTACATTTGACGACCTACATAAAATCTGCCTGTTGGATGCCCTTATCGATCGTGTGGAGCAGGAAGAACGTTATGCGCGTTATCGGAAATGCGCGCCCCATAACAAATGCCAACATGCGGCGTGTGGGGACAGGCCCAGTTACAGGCTCACATCGAGTCAGTATATTTTAAGGGTAACAGGCGATGCCTTTGAAAGCCCTGTTGATTACTTTAAATAAACATGGTACTAAACTGTTGTCAGTAATATATACTTAACATAATATTATAATTTGAAAATGCAGGACCGAAACTCGAGAATATTCAGTTGTAGATGATATCGGTAAAATGAAATGACAGTCATCCGCATTAGCGGTAGGTGTATGCAAGGCGTTGGTTTGGCACAACAGAGCTGTTCTGTCCAGACAAGCGGTATTTTCCAAGCGCTATTATTCGTGGTTAAGTGTTTATTGTGGACCAGAGGACGTGTTGGTACGCCTCCCCCCCCTGGGTTTTCGCCGCGCCAACCACCTACGCTCTCTTCTACCTCCAGTCTTCTTGACTTCGTCATGTCACCGGCCGCAGGGGGAGGGGAGGAGAGAGTGCCGTGGATGATCTGAAATTCTACTGTCGCTACAAACCAATCCACGCACAGGCCACCGCACCTGCTCTCACACCGCTATGGAGCACACGGTTGACGCCATTGGCAACAGCAGTCGAACCGCCGTGTGAGCGGCGCCTAGTCGTTCAGGGAAAAGACCGAGGTAGTTTAAGGGTACATTTGATGCAGTAAACCGTCGAACACAACCAAGAGGCAGAGACCTTGGGAGTTATGTGATTTGCTGAAAAATACCCTCTTAAGTCGGCATAGAATGCGCAGCGGGCAGAAATACAGTTTGGATGTGAATGGGACTGGAATGCAAGTGGTTTACAGGACGTAAGCGCCCCAAAAGAGCCAGCCCTCAAAGAATGGGGTCTGGTCATCAGGAAAACGATGGAGAAATCTGATCAGAAGAAGAAGCGATCGCTGGAACAAGAGCTTTATTCGCCTGAAGTTTCAGATTCCCACTTGAACCCATCATCAAAGACAGAAAAGGGTGACTCGTGCACAAGAAATTGCAGTATTTATAGGATGCAGTCGCTATGCTACCGCATACCTATAGCAATTAACCGCGCTCCCCTTCATCAAGGATTGTTGCCCGCTGGTGCGCTTATTGGTTGATAGCCGGCATGCAAGTTGTTTATTGCTGAAATCGCATCACCCGTGTTGGATGCTGGCGTGATGATTGCTGGGCCATCTGGCTCATCGGTTTGCGCGCTTCCCAAGTGGTCAATTACTTTAGCCAGCCTATGCCTCAGCACGGAATATGGAGTGGGCATGTCGTTGCACTTGTTGATAGACTGAGATCCCGTGAACCATGACTCAAGCAACTCGCGGCTCCCGCGATTATCCCCTCTCGCGAGAATTTCGGCCTCATCGAACTTGAATGTGTGGCCGGGTCTCGTCGAATGGGCCGCGACCTGAGAGTTGGCGTTATTTCTCCGTACCGCCGCCACGTGTTCGGCGATTCGCGTCCGTAACAGTCTTCCAGTTTCTCTGACGTAGTTACTTTGTCCGCAACTGCACAAGATCCGGTAAATAACTCCAGATGTTTCATACCGTAGCAGTGGGTCTTTTGGTCTCATCCCTTGACGCCTCATGGTGGCCCCCGGTCTGTGTGCCACTCCAACCCCAAGTGGTGCAAGAAGGCGGCTAACGGCCTCGGAGACGTTCTTGATGTACGGGATCGTTCGCCAGAATTTGGGGTCGGCACGGTTCTGTCTCTCGTCTCGTTTGCGCATACACCGGTTGAAGAAGTTGCGCGGGTAACCCTTCTGTTTGAAAACCCGTCGAAGATATTGGGAATCGGCAACCTTGTCATCCGGTTCACTGCAGTGCGACTCAACACGCCGATATAGCATTCTTACGCAACTGCGTTTGTGGCTGGTTGGGTAGTTACTGTTGAAGTTCAGTAGTTACGTCGTGCTCGTCGCGTTTCTGAGCATTTTAGTCTTTAGGCAACCACAATCTTTGCGACAGACAAGGACACCAAGGAATGCCAGCTGGTTATTTTCTTGCTCCTCCATCGTAAACTGCATGTACGGGAAGACGCTGTTCAGACGTTTCTTGAACGTTGGCACCTGATCCCGTTCGATGACGACGAAGGTATCGTCCACATACAGAGCCGAGAAATTCGGTCTGTGGGGTTGGAAAAATCTGTTGACTTCCAGATCCTGTTTGCACAAACTTTGTCGGTTTTCGACATCAGTATGCGAAATGCGACGTCGTAAGGACGAGGAAGTAAGCGACACGAGGCGTCCTCTTTAGGATTCGATTCTGAAAGAAACCGGAAGGAAAGCAAGGGTGCAGTGGACCAGAAGACTATACATGTGTGTTGTGATCCTCTGTGCAGTCCAATTAGTTTGACTGACGCATCAAATTTCATCTTGTTTTGAGGAATTAAGACCACCTAACACCAACCCTAACCAAAAATCGCGTAGCTATCATTTGCTGACATTTCAGGCATTTTGACTTGCCCTAAGAATATGATTATATGTTTCAAACTACCTCGCCCAATTAAGTAGAAAGGCAAACAAAACCTGCTCATTTTCCACAGGGTGAGACTAAGTAAAACTCAACGTTTTCGGTTAATAACCTTTCACTTACCTAGACCCATCACGAATGTCTGAATCCAATTTTTGGTCCATTCTTCATTAGATTAGGCAAAAGTTACCGGTGGAACGTAAATGATAATCTTTTTGCCATTGATCTAGTTACATGTCAGCCAGGAAGTTAAACCTGTACCCTAACGAAAGCTACTAATTTTGAAACCGATGATTTTTAATGCATAAACGATTTTGCACGGGGATAAGACTTACCTTGGCGACTGCTCATCTCACTTTTGGTAGCAACTGCGATTGAGTAGATGTTCATTGTGGATCTCATGCCTTCTGCCCACATCAGAGAAGTGATTGCCCTAAACCTTCTTTGAAAGCCTGATGTCAGTTCGGTTCTCGTAACTAATGCCGTCTGAAGGGACATGTATAATAATGACATAGAATCGGGATTAAAATGATCTCCATTCGTCGTCAAGCGGGTTACGGTGTTTGATTACTTCTTCGCGTTTGTAGACAGTTTATTTTGTCCTACCCCTTCAGATCTTCTTGCAGCCGAGAGATTGGAACAAGTACTTCCCCTATCATCTGTTCGTAAATCGAGTGGATATCGTCACTTTTGATGAGGCTATTCGTTTTCCACCTCCGTCTGGATTTCAAGCAATTCATGGCAGAGCACGGCCTGGTACTCGTGATCGGAATGCAGTTCGAGGGTCCACGACGACCCACCTTGATGACAGCGACGGAGGCTGAGACAAAAGTACAAGCTGGTCATCCTCGTGCGGTTACGTTCAAGAGTGCCAGCATGGAGCGAAACCATAAAACGTCAAATTTTTCCATCTTTTTTAGATCTTAGGAGTGCCTTTATTGTTATGACAGAATAAAGAAATGTTATCATATGAAACACAAATCGTAAACTGCTTTTGACTTCTTTTTGAAACCGTGGGAAGTACTGAATGTCTTAGATGCTTTCTATTGAAGTATCCACGTAAACGAGCACGTTGATAACTCTACGCCTACAGTCGGTAGGCGCGTTTACGAATAACTATTGTATCAAGAAACGGCACAATAGACGTACACGAATGTCTAAACAGGACATGAGAACAGGAACCGTCCGCAACGTGGGTGATATTGGGCCAACTCCCAGCGAAATTAGGGTTGGGTTTAAGGTAAGGGTAAGAGTCAAGTAAAGGATTTGGTTTAATGCTAGATTTAAGATTAACGTTAAAGGAAGGCTAGGCAAATTTAGGGCCGAGGTAAAGTGCCAGTGTTGACTGCGGAGTTAAGGTTTAGGGTAGGGTTTGTGTCAGGATTAGGGTTAGGAGAGGGAAATATTTTGCCTTTCCGGAATTATGCGCAAGTCCGCGGGGCGTCCCTACTTCCATGTCCTGTTTAAGGGGCTACATAAGTCAGTCCCGCCCAAAAAACACGTTGAGAAATCCGAGAGACATTGGTAAACTCATATTTGAACCGTGAATCTGACGTTTTAACGGAACTGGCCCAATCTGTCCGGTGCTATCTGGTGCGCCACCTTGTGAGGGCATGTGCGGCGTCGCCCCCCGAGTGGAGGGGGCCCACTTCTGAAGAATGGATTTTAACTGATTTTCATGTGCTTCAACAACATTACTGGTTCAACTTGCGTTCATTCAGTCCTTTACGTAGCTGTCTTATTCGCCTTAACAACAGTCAAAATAAGCTGGAAAACGCAATTAACATTCTCGAGGATGGCAACAGTCTGGGTTTCCTAATGCTTCTTCTTCCGACTATCACCTTATGATTACTGAAATAAGGAAGAGACGCCAACGAATTGGCACCAGCTACTGTACATAAAGAATGTGTCCGAGGCCACTGAGCGCATTGCGGCAGGGCTGTACGTGGGCATCGCCCACCGTCCGGCAGCGGCCATGAGTAAATAGAAACATGAAGCTGAAGGATCGGCTGGACGCACGTGGGCAGTCGGGCGTAGTTTATCAAATCTCGTGCCATAACTGTCCTAGCCATTACACTGGCCAAACAGAACGACGCCTTAGTTCGCGAATACTCGAGTACACGCGGGTCGTTCAAAGAGGTGGCGCACTTTATCAGGTCGGCACTTACGGGCTGGAGGAAGCCCATGAGCTCGATTCCGCCAGCACGCGGATACTGGCGCGGGTCGACATCAAGACGGGACGGGAACTGCTTGGTGGCACGGGAGTCAACTCCATCAATAGACGTACTGACTTCCCCCTCTCCTGTTATCATTCACTACGCCCAACATTTGGTCCGCCTCACACCGCCGCTAAGGGCAGACGGCGTCTCCACATCGTGAGGCCGTCCTGAGCCAGGCGGCGCGAACCAGATATATCCACGGACGCAACTCCATCCACCCTAACTGTCCACACGTTGTTGTACTCCAACAATCTCTGAGGCTGAACTCCTGTTCGAGTTCGAAAGTTGGAGCTAATAAGGTTACAGTCGTAGTGGTCACGTCTTTGTCTTCTTTTCAACGATAACCTGGGATAGGCATATTCCCTTCCATTCACAAGGAATTCGTTTCTATTCATTCGCGACATGATCATCGTTTATTGCGCTTCTGCCAGTAGCTGGCATCCTAAACGCGGCGTGATCCATTCGATCAGCGCTTCCGGCGTGCATTGCGCTGGCCTAAGTCAATCGGTATATCGCCTCTTCTCTGCTGACGAAGACATGCGCTCCCGCAAGTTCGTCACCGCCGCCCGCCTCTGCCTTGCCAACGGTCAAAGGGCGATTTTTGCTGAGCTTGCTCCTCAGTTTTTTGTAGAGCGTGAGAGCGCACTCTTCCTGTGCTTGCCGCCTGCTACCACTACCCAGTATTAGACCTTGAAAACGTGGTAATTTTGGAGGGTGTTGACTCTCTTTGTCGCTACATTGGTTTGCTGAGGGCCAGTTTGTTTTAGTTTGCCCATAAAAGGGGCTGCGCAGGAGATGGGCTGGATCAGAACAAGGGAAGGCATACGGGCACGGTAAATGTTAACCGGAATGCGCAGAATCCGTGCAGCTCAGCACAAATGCCACAAATGGGGAGGGGGGATTGGTGACTCACCTGCAGTAGGTGGGCTAACTCATGAAATGTCGGCCGAAATTTCGAAATGCGTTTTCGTTTCGGAAAGATTAATTAGGTTGGGTTGTAAAAGTAATCGTCATCCAGCGTACTTCTATAATAATTCAATTACATCAGGATGCCGACTTTTGAACGAATTTCTTTCCGACTCCATGCACAAACTACACTCCGTAAAATTGGCTACTTAAGTAGCATGCACTTTTCTCATCGATTTTCGATGCTTTTAAACATGCAAGTATATTTCATTGAAAACATGCATAGAAATATTCATTCTTTGATTCATTTGACCGAAATTTACGTTTATTTTAAATTTTATGCTTGAAGAAAGGGTATTATTCGGTTTTAAAAAAAGCTTCAAATTGTTAGATTTTTTATTACCATGGAATGCCCTTTTATAAAACATCCTGTCTCACCATTTAGTAGAGTGGTCTCTTAAGTTTGCAATATGACTCAAATCAACGGCTATATTTTACGACTCCTATATAGTCTCCTTTTAGTACCGTAGAGAAATGCATGATTCCCCATACGTGGAAACTATACGGTTTGTAGTTTAAAAGCCCTGAATACAAGTGCAACGGCATGTCGAGTTCAAAACTACTCAAGAATCGGAAAAGTTTTTGAAAACCGAATTGTATCCTTTTTTCGAGTATAAAATTGGAAGCAGATGTAATTTTCCACCGAATGAGAAAAGAAAGAATATTTTTACTCGTGCTTTCCATGAAATATAATTGAACATTTAAGGTCATCGAAAACCAATGAGAAAAAATCATGCTACCTAAGTAGTTAATTTTTACAGAGTATAGTTTCTGCATGCAGCCGAAAGGAAGTTCATTCGAAAGCCGGCATTCTGAGGTAACTGAAATATCATAGAATTATGTTAGAGACTGACCAGTTTTACAACCCTACTTAATTAATCTTTTCGAAACGAAAACGCAGTTCGGAATTTCGGGTAACATTTCGTGAGTAAGTCCACCTACTGCAGATGAGGGCTAACGCGGGGCCAGCCACCTGCGCCCAATCCCGACAACTCGAGAAGCATATGGGCGCATGGGAGAAGGAGAGAGAGAGAAGGACGGCCATTGAAGGCTTCGTTCTCACGCCACTTCAGCGCAGTCTTCATTATAAATAATCTGACGTTGAAAACTGTCACAGTACACTAAATGTCCATGGTTTGAAGGCTATCAGCTGGTGGGATAATGCGGTTCCCTCAGGACAGATGGGCGAACTGAAGTGGTTCCTTCTTAATGTGGCATCCGTGACACTCCCACTCAGAGGGGATGCCATTCGTCCTTCTTTTTTGTGAAAACCTGGTCCACTGTACACCGACAAGGTCATGTGTATGATGGATTGTTTAACTCTGTCGACCACTGCATCCGATCCCACCTCCAGCCTTCTCAAATCTTTCTTGCCACTGGGCCCATGTGATTAAGAAAAGAAAGAGTACGGCAGGCGCTACGCAAGTCTGCCATCAGTCCAAAATGCTTCACGCCGAAGCCACATCCTGTGCGCACTAAACTAAGAGGCACACGGCTGCTATCATCGTTCGCGATGGCCGAAATTACATGTTTTGGTGAAGTGTCGGGGTTTTCGACTAGCAATCTGCACTCACAATGCATGCCCCACTTTCAGGCGTCCAGATACGCACACGCTTCTGGTTCTAAACTGTCGTAAATGCGACTTTCGTCTTCCGTTTGGCTGTGATTGCAGTTTACTGTAAGGCAGACTCCTGTTCGTGCTTGGCCACGCTGGCGGCCAGGCGAACCTCAATATTTGTAAGGAACTGTCAGTAAACGGACGCCTCGCAAAACTGCAATGCCAGGCGCTTCATTTTCGCGAATAGTCAATATATACCTGTCTGTCAAAAACACTGTTTTTGGTTGACATACAAAAGGCTTGTGGTATGGTGCCTGGTAAATTACTTTGAAGAATGTCAAAAAGTCTGGTTTCAGGCGCCATCACCATGATTGCCGTGGGCATATGAAAAAAAACTTACAGCACTATTTAACTCCTTGGTGCTGCCAGAGATACATTTAAAAATGTCGGAGGCTTAAGAGAACAAAATGACTGTCATAACTAGCTGATGGTAAGGCTTACGACACTCGAGGAAAAATGGTTTATTTAGGTCAACAAAAGTGACTACTAAAACGTTTGGTGCGGGCCGAAACCTGGCCTGTTCGGAACGTCATTTCCTTAAAATCACACATCATTAATTTATATGCGGTCATGCTGCTTGAGGCCATATATCGAGTATGCAAGCCTTAAACACAGCAGGCGGGTATCAGTACTAGCGCAGCGCGTTTTTTCTTCATAATGTGTTAGAAACGCCTGTTGCATTGACGAAATTTAACTCGGTAAAATTCCACTTACGCCATGAAAAAGGAATTAGTATCGTAAGGCAGTTGACGGCATGCGTATGGGAGGAAATAACTGAGTTACAGGGTGTGATGACATGAGTAGATTTTCTTTGTTTAAGTCGTCCGCTACCGCCACATTTCCATGTGCCGTCCAGAGGGTCTAACCTCTCTTATGTACGTCTTCATAATAGTGGGTCATCTAGGAAATCGACTTGTAGGCGCCGAAGGATTCTGAAATTTGGACAGTAAATTGACCAATCTGAATAGTTCGATCAATGTGAAAACAAAAATCGACCAGCGAAAAAGCGCTCTTCAATAGG